TTGTTTTATTATGCGCACTTATATGAATTTCACAAGTAATGAGATCACTTAATAATTTATCCTTTTTGTTTTATTTATTCATTGCTGATCGGATCGTCTTTTTATTTCCGAATGGACATTTCGCCGAGCGGACATTTTGCCGAATGGACATTTTGCCGAATGGACATTTCGTCGAGTGGACGTTTCACCGAAAATAGTAGTGAGTAAAAAATATTCAACACGCAATGAAAATAAAAAATAAATAAATAAATAAAATATTCAAACAAATTCTTATTAAAACCACTATAATGTTTATGCAAAAAAAATCAAAATAAATTTAGAAATTGAAATGTCAATCCTATTAAATCTGGAATTTAATTTTGCCGATCATTTTTCGTTCCAGATTCTTGGGTAAATTTTTCAAAAAAATCGTCCGAGGTTACCTTGTTATTATTGAATATTTTTTTTTTTCCAAGATATTATCGCTTTAACATTCAAGTAACTGATATTACAACAAAATTAAAAATATATGGGACACTTGAATAAGAATAAATACGTGCCTGACTACCGGACAACCTGACAATCAAATTTCTCAAGTCTATTCAAGATATATTGATCAACTCTATATATTAAACAAAAAAAGTGGAATTAGTTTTTATTTATTCTATTTTTCGAAATATTTTCCGTGTGAAGTTGTATGAATTTCATTTCATATTAAAAATAAGGTAATGTATCATATAAATTATAAATTCTATGATAATTTCACGCGATAAATTATAAATTTTATGACGATTTCACGCAATAAATTATAAATTCTTTCTTTTTGTTTTATTTATTCTATTTATTCATATTTGAACAAATAAATACAAAATTATCTATAGTTAAAATATTAAAATATTTACATATAAAAAAATATGTATATATATATCCCGAATTCCCGTCAAAGATTTGTAATATTAATAAACGATTAAACTTTCTAAAAAATCTTGCCACAGGTATCTAAATTATGACTTATTTTATTTAAAATTTTGATTTAATTACTATTTTTTCTGGTAACTAATATTAAATCCTTATCCTAATCAAGATATTTCACGCATAATGAAATTTTCTATCTTTTTCACGCTCACTATCATTTTTTTTGCTACGGCTCTTGTATCAACAGTCATTGAAGGTAAAATCTTCAAATTGAACAAGTTCGAATATGATATGAACTTTAAGCAAAATATTATATTCTTTTATCCTAAAAACTTAATTGATTACTAGGTTATCACGCTGAAGTTGTTAGAAACGTTCTCGCAGAATGTAAGATTTGGGTTACAGATAATAATGGTAATTATGTAGCTGGTAATAAACATTACCATAGATGCGACAATAATCCTCCAAATTTAAATATTGATACATTATCAAATGATTCATACTGGCTTATTGCAAGTGTTGAAGGTAGTGGTAGACAAGATAAGCGTCGTGGACCACTTAACAATGATTTCTGCTATATTATTTACGGTGATGCTGCTAATTGGCGTTTTAACACCTGGGATTATTGTAATAGTCAGTCTTAATTAACTTAGTTATCTTAATCTTTTCAATTAAATTTGCTAATATACATTATTTGTACTTTTTTAATGTTGAACAATTTAATAAATTTATAATTTATGACTAATAATATAACATACCAATGTTTGGAAAGTCTATAGTTTGCCTATGGAAATGATATGTTTTGTATACGTTTGATATAAGTTTTTGTATATTTAATACGCAATACCATTTTTTAAATGTTTTCCAAAAAGAATTATTAATGCATACGAATGTTATTTATTTATTTATTTATTTATTTTATGTAAAGTCGGAAGGACTATTCTAAGAGAGCATTAATTACAAGAATTGCGCCCAACATTTAGTCCATCATCTACCTGTGGGGCAGACCCAAACTAATTATTATATACCATAGACTGCTCCAACAACACAGCCGATGAAGGAGCAGGTATGAAGAGACAATTAAATGACAAGCACCAATCCGTATTTTTCTTTCAACCCAAAGGGTTGCCACCTGTAAATACTGTAAGAGGTGGAATGGTTTACACTATTTTGAGTTGTTAAAAGTCTAACGTAAAAAAATGAACTAAAATGCTAATTAGCATATACAAATAGAAGCTAATATATTTATAAATCTATATCTAAAAATTTGACTAATGAGTACTTAAATAGTACGAGTAGATGAACTATTTTCTAAATCCTTCGATGCGGATAGTATACAAACCTTTTTATCTTTATGATAACCATAGTGAGTATCTAAATTGCTATTATCACTGGCACTTCGTTTAAGCGGTCTGTCGTCTATAATGGCACAAGACTGAAATGCCAACCCGATTTCTTTCGTATAGTATTCGATGCAAAAAATATTTTCCAAATTGTGAACCCGAGAGTATAACTCTTCTAAGATTTCAGTATCTTCTTGTTTTTTCCGTTCAATTTCTCGTAATAATTGTAATCGACGCTTTTCGTGTTTTTTGCGTTCGCTTTGTTTAAGTGGTCCAGATACAGTTGGTAAATCGGGTATTACTTCGGATGAGATTTCAAGTAATTTCATCTCATAGTTATACTGAGCGTTGGTGAATTCCATTACATGATTGCATAGATCCATCCGGTATTCGCCTTGATCAGGAGTGGTACCCCATTGTATTCCAGCATCAATTCTTCCTTGTTCGTATTCAATCATTGATACGTGATCATCATAAATTTCTTTCATATGAGCTAGCCAGCCATCACTGCCAACTGCAAGTGGTTGTAATTTCTTTTTCTGGACTTTATTATGAGAAGGTTGATTCAATCGGCCACCTTCATAGATTGCAGACTGAGGAATTAACGGAATATAATGTTCAGGTACATTCTCCCAATTATCAGTATTAGCTGGGGATATAGGTATGTCATTTGGTTTAGGTGTGACGGAGCTGATGTTACAAATTGTCTCCACTATAACAGGTACAGATACAGTCTTAGGTTCAGGAAATGGGATCGGAAAGGTGTAATAACTTTGTGATGGTTCAGCGAATTTATTCTTGTATCTAAGGTGTTTGATAGGAGTGGTGAAACTTTGATTTTCTTGAAATAATAATTTGTGACGTCGTGCAGCTCAGAGTTTATCATCCTTTAGCGCATTATCATCCAGCTTGGCGTTATGAAAGGTATGTCTAACCAAAGCATTAAAACGTGCTTCTTGTCTTTTCTTGACATTTGGAGACGTGCTGGGAGTAAATTGAAGATTCCCATATTTTTTGCCGTAAATAAAATCAAGTCCTTTTGTAGCGACGACATTAGTGTTATACACATGGTATGATGTGGTGAAAGAAATTCCTAATCGATTCGAAAAATTCTGATGTTTCTTCTTCTTAGCCCATCTGTTGAAGAGGCGAGTTGCATGAAAATCTTTGAATGTTTTGCAAAAACTAACGTCAGGAATTTTGTTATCCTTCGAGATAAAATATAGGACTAGATTCTTGTGGTGAATAATACAGGCATGACGATGATGTGACATTGTGAAAGGAACTGGAATGGAGCAGGTCGCAATAGTATTGGACAATAGACCTGCTGTATGAGTATGATTACATGGGAGATAAATTCCAAAATAAAATCTATATTTTTTATACGAAAAATTAAAAAAAGTTTTAGTCATGTGATTGTTTTTGTCTTCTTTTTGGGCACGTGATGTTATGAAATCCAAATGCTCCAATAGTTTTTTACGAATGTATGTAAAAAATTTTTCTTGTAATCTTCGAGGAATAACTTTTTGTATTGAAAAAAAATGCGTGAGCTGTTTCGATATTTGAAATTTGAAATTAGGGAGTTGGCTCGTGGAATTGTGATTAATCGGGTTAGAGGACATATGATAATCATTGGTGTAAATCTTCAATTGAAGTTGATTGGTGTTTGGTAATTGATCAACCAGCTCAAAAAAGAAACTCTTTGAGCGCCTATAATTGTAAATCTTGTTATAACCGGCTCTATGAGGTGGGGTCATGTGGAACTTTTCATATTTTGTAGAAAAAATATAGTGTTTGTTAGGCGAATAAAAGGGCCTAATATCATCAAAGTTATTATGAAGTGAAGGTATATCCGATAAAGTGTCATCAATAGGAGGTGTTGTTCGTATAATATCGTGGTTGAAAATGAAGTCGTTAGGACTAACGGGTGTATGGTCGTATCCAGGTGCAGGAGCAAAGTCATCGGCTCTTGGAAAATAAGACATAACCAACCCTTAAATATGGGTATACTGAGAACACTAAAACCTCGTCTTATGCCCGAGGCACCCTTAAGGGCCTCTTCCCTTTAGGTATTTCAAATAGAAACTAAAAAATAAACTTGCGCAAAATTACTGCGGAAAATTACCGAAATGAAAAAAAAGGGGAAAGAGTTTTTTTTTTTTTCCTCTTAATTTTTTTTTTTCGTTATACCGCAGCTGAAGCTGCGGTAATTATTAAGTAATATCACGTGATGCACGTGATAGATAATTTTATATAAATAGGGGCTTTCCCCGCCCCGGAATTTTTTTTTTTTTATTTTAATAATTTTAAATAGATGTATATATATGCTTATATATACATATATATATATCTATTAACTAATACTTTACGAAAAGCCCCTCCTCTGTAAACAGGTAGAGGCCATAAAGTACCTATAGGGGGAGAGCCATTGCTGCTCCCTCCGCCTGTTTATAGTGACAAAAAGAGGGAGTCTTCAGTAGTAAGGTTTAGTATTAAATTACATCACAACACATCGTGTTATATTAACAATGTGTTTAATGTTAAATAATGCGTTTAAAATATAAATATTATAAATTTAATAATGTACGTAATTAAATAAATAAAAATTATCATCAATTTTTAATGTAATTAAGTGTAATGCTACGTTATCCAATGTAATTGTAGTATTTTTTTTGTGTTTTTTAGTGCAATTCCGCGTTTTTTAGTGCAATTCCGCATTTTCTAGCATAATGTTACATTTTCCAGTATAACGCGAAATTTTTTAAAAAAAAAATGATAATTGTGGTACTTTTTAGTGTAATGCTACATTGTCTAGTGCAATTGTGGTATTTTTTAGTGCAATGCCGAATTTTCTAGCATAATGTTACATTTTCCAGCATAACACGAAATTTTCTAAAAAATATGATAATTGTGGTACTTTTTAGTGTAATGCTACATTGTCTAGTGTAATTGTGGTATTTTTTAGTGCAATGCCGCATAATCTAGTATAGTGCTACATTTTTTAGTATAATTTAATGTAATGTGGAATTTTCCAAAAAATGAGATAATTGCGATGCTTTTTAGTGTAATTTGGTGAAATGCTACATTTTCCAGTGTAATGCTATATTACTGAGCATTTTCAAAAAAAAATGTAAAATCTTAACATTCTGACGAAAATGAAACATTTTGACCAAAAAAACGTAAAATTTGCTGAAAATATGCAACATTTGACAGAAAATATAGAATTTTCATAAAAAAATACACCATTTGCAAGAAAATCGGAATATTTGACAAAATTTGAATTTAATTGACAATGTTATAACAATTTTATGAAATGTTGTTACAATGATATCACATTGAAGATAAAATGTGGCATTTTCATAAAAATGCACCATTTGCAAGAAAATTGGAACATTTGACAAAAAAAAAGCAAAATTTGATTTTAATGACAATGTTATAACAATGTTACGAAATGTTACAAAAATGTTACATTTGAGATATAATGTAGCATTTTCCCAAAATTTCATAAGATTTGCTAAATCGGAAAATGTTGTAACAATGCTATTCCAAAAAATTGCTCAGCGTAATGCAGCATTTTCCACAATTTCCCACCATTTTCTAGGAAAATGGGGAATTTGCATTTTTTGAATTTTGGACAATGGCGCCCCTTCAACCTGTGTTAAATGCTACGTTATCCAGTGTAATTGTAGTGTTTTTTTGTGTTTTTTAGCGCAATTCCGCATTTTTTAGTGCAATTCCGCATTTTATAGCATAATGTTACATTTTCCAGTATAACACGAAATTTTCTAAAAAATATGATAATTGTGGTACTTTTTTAGTGTAATGCTACATTGTCTAGTGTAATTGTGGTATTTTTTAGTGCAATTCCACATAATTTAGTATAGTGCCACATTTTTCAGTATAATTTAATGTAATGTGGAATTTTCCAAAAAATGTGATAATTGTGATACTTTTTAGTGTAATTTGGTGAAATACTACATTTTTCAGTGTAATGCTATATTATTGAGCATTTTCCAAAAAAAAAATTGTAATATTTTAACATTCTGACGAAAATGAAATATTTGACCAAAAAAATGTAAAATTTACTGAAAATATGCAACATTTGACAAAAAAATATAGAATTTTCATAAAAAATGCACCATTTGCCAGAAAATCAGAATATTTGACAAAATTTGATTTTAATTGACAATGTTATAACAATTTTATGAAATGTTGTTACAATGACATCACATTG